AAAAACTTCAATGCGCTTATAATCGATGCTATTGTAGAGAACTGATTGTATTTGCGTGGCGCGAGCTCTTCGCCATTTCGTCTACGCTTGATCGAATGGTAGACCAGAATTTCTTTCCAAACTATATCAGACAGAGGGAGTTTGATGGTCCCGTGTTCAATGGAGTCGGCGTAGAAGCGCGCAAGATACCGTGAAACTCGAGCAATTATCGATCTGTATTGGCTTCTTGTATTACCTACAACTCTCAACGCAATGATCTCATCCCCTGTTTCGGCACGGCTTTGTGTGTTGGTGGTCTTCCTTGGCGGTATGATCGTTTCTGGGACCAGTACAATTCATCCGGATATTTCCGGATATGTGTTGTTTCGTAAATCGTTTATATATATTGTCATTTGCTTTTTCATACTAATTTCAAGTGAATGAAAAGGATCTATTTCCGATTTACGAAACATGTTGTTTCGTGAATCCATTATGTATCCAGATCTTTTGTTTCGTACGTGTTTCGTAAGTCACAACTACTTCATATTAAATTCAGTTTAGTCGATTAGTATGCGATATGGCTAATGGCCTGCCAAGTCCACATTTCACAGGGAGATGCGGGAAATCACGACTTTTAATAAAACTATCAATAATTTAAAACAATATTCCCAAAATTTAAAAAAAGTTTCTTCGAGATTCTTTTAGAGGATTCTTTTAGGATTATATAATCTAAAAAGAAACTTGCAAAACGACCTAAAAAACCCACACTTCCCAAACGATTCAAAGCTTGATATTTTAGGACAAGGTACATAGGAATACTTCATGAGGATATCAGTCGAGAAACATCAACTTTTGTCATGTCTTGTTTGGTTTTTTCAACGTCAAAGTCGGAGTTTTTAGAAGTTTCTTTTAACTTTACATTAAAAAAACCATATTCAAACCATTTCAATCCTGGATTTCATTGTTCTCAGCTGTAGACTGTACTTATAGCTATAAGTTTCAACGAAAAGTAATCGCAATGGGAAATGTCTTGGTTAGTTTTTTAAGCGACAAGTCAGAGATTTTGGAACTTAAAGAATCTTTTGTAAATGTTGTATACACCAACAATCATGTAATTTAAAAAAGTTTTGAGCAATATTTTTTTTAAAATAAAGACGTATTTTTTTAAATTGTTGATTTCCCGCATCTCCCTGAAAAGGACAATACCACCTTTAGCTAGAATGATATCTTCCAAATAGACACGGTTCGAGCCTTGAGGATCTCGATTGATGTAACAGGGAGCTCACGAAGCCTACAACTTATGAACTCATACACATGCTCGATGGGGTTCAAGTCGGGATTTGGGGGGATGATTGAGGGTTACGATCATGTTTTCGTCGAGGAATTACGACACAAGAGCAGCCTTGTGAATGGGTGCGTTCTCATGTTGGAACGCGAAGTCCAACAGGAGTCCCAATTTCGAGACGTTGTGATCGACTTCATCTTGAAGAAGGCATTTGCAGTCTTTCGACTTCATTTTGCTGTCGCAAAACGCAGTGTGTCGACGCCGTTGAAGTTTATGGCCCCCCAAACCATGACGGCCACTCTTGAACGTTGGTTGAAGACAAATGTCCATAATCTCCTCACTGGGTCTTCGTCACACAAAGATCATTCCGCTTGACTCAGTCAGGTTGAAGGGGCTTTTGTTACTGAACAAGACTCTCTTGCAGTCGTCCGGGGACCACAAAAGATGCTTTTTGCGAAAGCTATGCGCTTCAACTTGTTTGCTTTGGAGAAAAACGGGTTCTTCCCGGCGACGCTGCCATTCACACCGATTTCTTGGAGGCGACGACGAACCGCCTCCTCCAAGACAGTCACATCACGAAAAATCTCAAGTTCTTTGGCGATATTTGGGGCACAGGCACGTCTGTCCTTCAATGAATCAATCGATCGAAATTAACGGTGGTCGAACGACCACGTCCTAAACGAGAAGAAACTATCGTTCAACACTCGGTCTTGAACTTGGTAACGGTGTTTCGGAGACTGGAAGGAGCCACATCGAGCTCCTTTGCAATTCGCTTGTAGCCAAAGCCCTATTTATACTTTGACAACACGCGAAGCCGAAGCTCAATTGAATGCAACTTCCGCTGGGACTTTGATGGGAAAATTGAGTGGCTTGGAGTCTGGTAGTGGACAGGATTGAGTGAAGCAAGATGTGTTGAAACTTGTTTCACTCAATCTAATCGTTCCCACACTCCAAGCCATTCATTTTTTCCGCCAAAACCTCAGGGTGCCATGAGTGTCGACAGCGCTATCAAATTCAGGATTGAATTTTCTCATGTGTTGGAATTCAAATTGTTGGTCTTGATTGACCAAAATGTGTATATTTGATATCTCTCTCGAGTACAGTGATCGTCTAACTTTACCGACGCAGACTCATTGATATCTTTCAAAAAGCCCAAAAATATCCATAGGGTGCCATGACTTTCGTGAGCCACAGTACATTCAAGCAAATACGTTTAGACAGGAAATTTTGAATACCAAAAACGGCGTACACGAGCACTCAAATGGACATGGCTGTGAAGGAGGTACTCCAAAAAAGAGGACCGCGGAGGAAATAGCTGCTACAAACTTGACTCCAATTCGAACACTAATGAGCTTTTCGATGAAATTCATGAAGGAGTCAAGAGTCACGATGATTACTTAAGCACAAGAGAGATGCTGCGGGTAAACTCGGGATATCATCTCTGTCGAAAATTGCCTGTGCGCTCAGACAATTGACATCTGGTGTATCTCCAAATGAAAGTACAGAATGGCCCCATCAACTGGTTTGGAGTCCCTTAATCAATATTGCTCTGCAGTCGTTGAAATTTATGGCGATTCTGTGCTACGTTTTCCAAATGAGACCGATTTAAACAACCTCATTGCCGATGGTTCGGCCATAGGTTTTCCTGATTGTATTGGTTCCATTGACTATATACATTGGGAGTGGAAAATAGTCCATCTAGTTGGAAGGGAATGTTTCAAGGTAAGGACATAGTTCCAACTGTTGTGCTCGAAGCTATTGGTGATCATCAATGTCGGTTTTCGTCTTAAGCTCTCCGGGGACATTGAACGACACTAACATCTTGGATTGTTCACCGTTGTTTAACAAAGCTGTTATTGGGGAGTCGTCCCAGATTACGCTAAATGTGAATGACCATGACAATACTTATGCTTATTGTCTTGCAGATGGTATCTACCTGACTATGCATGCTTTGCAAAGGCGATTCAAAATCCAGGCACACAAATGCAAAAACACTTTGCCGCTGCTCAAGAAGCTAAGTGTAAAGATAATGAATAGCCTTTAGAATCCTTCAAGCCCGACTCCATGTGGTCGCAAATGGTCGTGTTTGGAGCCGCGAATCAATGCCAGATGGCAGTGAGACTTGCGTAATTCTATACAATTTGATAATTGATTGAAGACATGGTCCTTGTCTCGTCTATGAATTCTCTCAATATTTCGTTCAGCACCCATTTGCATTGAGCAGACGAAGGAGCGATAAGGCTATCAGAGAGCGTGAAGAAATGATTCACGGGATGCAAAACAGCACAGTCTATTCGCAACTCCAGTGCGATCTCATGACATCATTGTGGGAACAATACTCAGAAACACTTTGAGACCTAATGAACGACATTTAAATCTTAGGGCCCGTCTGGCAACAGAAAATATTACAATAAATAGGCCCAAAATGCCATTTTGAGGCCAAATTCAATAATTGAGGTGAAAATATGAACTTGTTTATCTCCAAGAGTTTTGCACCAAGTCCAATATTTTTGGTTGGGATATACTCAGTGGAGTCTCCCAAAATGCCATTTTACGAAATGACTCTTAGACGGAAATTGTGGGACAATCGTGGGAACAATAAAACGCATGTATTGAAGGAATAAAACTGCTTATTAAAACACTTAAGTTGCTTTGACTCTCGAGTGATGATGTGTACAAGCCCTCTTCAAAGTGCCTAACTTCGAGGCGACCTACGAACTACACTGCCATAGATAGTAAAATGAGATCAAAGAGCTTTTAGCAACTTTATAACAGCGTTATCATTAAGGAAGGATAGGCTGTGCTTTCATATTCTACTTGCCTAGTAAAGACGTCTGAACGCCTTAGCGAGCGTGTTTGAGCTGCAAATTATCGTAACTTGCACTGAATGGTTCATGGAGCCTGACTGAACAGAGAATTTCTGTATGTTTGCAAAGCGTGTTAGCAGCAGACACAGAAACTGTCGAGACAATCGCACAGACAAATGATGCCATTTCTAATAGCTAAGGACTTGGCGACTCCTGTTCATTGATCTTTCAGAGAAGAGTCAATATAATATTTAGATGTAGCACACGCCCCTAAGATGAGCTTACTATGTTAAATAGACTCTTAACATGATAAACAATGATGTAACACCAGTGTCTCTTCGGTGGTTCATTCATGAATGGTGTTGCCCAGATCAAATCTGGGCTATCTTAAATTATGGACTTAAAGCTTACTCAAACTGTATAAGCATTAGTCTTAGCTCCTAGCTCTGGATGTTTGCTTTACAAGAACAGTGTTCCTCTAGGTCGGGGCTGTCATTTTGGCACTTTCGCAAAAGAAAAGACGTCGATCGTCAAAACCCTATAAATTTATAGTGTGGGGCTCTATCCCACAAAATCCGTAAAAATTATATGTGGTCATGAAAATGTATGAAAACAACTGACAAGAAAATTTTGATTTTTTTGAAAATTTGACAATTTATCCCACAAATGCTCTAAAACTTGATAAAATCGCCCACAAATTCCGGAGAATGGAGGTTTTACCTCCATTTTGAATATGCCATAAATCGTTGATCCCATTTTGGCTGAAAATGGCATACCGTAATGCGTAACTCGTAAGCATGCAGAACTCATAAACCACATAGTGGAACCACTCTTAAAATTCATATTTAGTGCCAGTTTCGAAATTATAAAAATCTAAAGGAAAAACCTTTGTGGCATTTATATTGTAATTGCAGATATATTTTGGCCTTGCCACAATGGCGTAGTTGGTAACGCGACGGCACTATAGCAGTAGAGGAAGGACCCCGGGTTTGAGTCCCGGGGGTGGCGGTCGTTTTTCCAAAAAATGAATATATATTTTCATATTACATTTTCTTCTGGATCTATTACTTCCTCCACCACGTTCAGTTGTTCCAATCTCTCCAATATCCCATTGTCTTCCTCGTCATCCTCTTGCTCTTCAACATATTCTGTGGTCTTGACTTGCAGTTTTGTCTTCACGAAACCATTTACAATTGTGGATGTTGCTATGTCATTCCATGATTTGTGAATCCATGTCACAATTTTGCTTCTTGTCGGTGGGATCATTCTAAAGGTCCCGTTTTGCGACTGGGCGTCGAACGCTTCCACTTGCTCTCGTAAGTCAGCAATCCACAGGCGTCGTAACCGTTCTTTCAGTGGCTTATTCCAGCAAACATCGGCTGGCTGACAGCTCCACGTGAATTTCGGAGGCACTTTCATAAGAATATCTTCTGCATATTTGACCATCTTCTCCGTCCAATGGCCGGAGAAATCATCCCACAGCAAAATAATCTTTTCCTCCATGCGCGGACGGCTGCCGAAGTGAAACTTGAGAAATTCCAATGAGATATCGCCATTCCACCACGCACTGCGGTTGCCGTGGATCACACAGCGATGCTGCGTCATGAGCTCCTTGACCTCGCGCCACACAGTCTTCCCAAATCCATTGCGACAGCTGCGGTTCTCTTGGTCCGTTCCGTCGACTGTCGAGGCCTTCTGCTTCAAGACCAAGAACAGCGGATACTTGATGCCATCCGAATCTGCCAAGAGCATTGCCGTGGCACGCTCCTTGTCCTTACCACCACAGCGGAGCCACACAGTCTTGGCACCCTTTGGATTGATCGTCGTACGGGGTAAGTACTCGTAAAATATTCCAGTCTGGTCAGCGTTATAGACTTTCGTCACACCAAACTTGGAGACCATTGCAGCGACTTCGGCCAAGAAAGATGCTTGGGCCGCCTGGCCATCACCGTCCGTGTCCTGACCTTGTCTGGTTTTCATCCTCAGAGCCAAACCATGACGACCTCGGAAGCTGGAGCACCAATCCCGACTGGCTTTGAACTGTTGGGGTGAAATACCCTGCTCGGATGCAACCTCTCGAGCCTTCATTTGAAGCATTGTAATTGTCACGGGAGCTCCAAGGTTCCGAATATCGCATATCCATTTGACAATGTTTTCTTCCACATCCGCGCTCAATTTTGTTGATACACCCATTGCTCTTGTTCGCGTTTGATGCTTTGTTTTGCTGCGGTGGGCGTTCTCTTCTATTCGAACCCTCGATTTCGACCATTTGTATACCATGGACCGAATGTCCTCACACCTTGACGGGGTTGAAACGGCGTCCGGCCAGAACTTTGTTATCGTTGCGACCATCCCACACACTTGGAATGAATTGATCACATCTAGTTTGAACAGCCATGAATAGGCCCTTCTTTTATGCTGCTTCGGCTTCTTCATTGGATTTTCGGGGTGGAGTTTTGGTCGCCCACACGAAATGACACCATAGATGTTTCCTCGGCGAGGCTCACCCATGAATTTGCGGAAGTGCAGTCAGCTCATCTCATCCCTTCTAAATATTATAGATCCTTAAAAATTATTTTTACTGCTAAATTTAATGCAGGTCAGTTTCATTACATATTTGTATAGTGCTTATGAGAAACGCACGTCCCACCCAAGTGTCGAAGTCCAACCAGATCTTAATTTGAATAATGTTGGATTTTCGACCGTGTCTTATGAGTTACGCATTACGGTATTGATTTTGAAATTTTGCCAGACGCACCCTTAGATTTCAAACTACATCATCAATATCATTCTCTTTCCTTTGATGGACTAATCTGTCTGCCTGATCAATACACAACTTCGCTTCGGAGAAAATTATCTCTGGCTTTCGTCAACGTTTTGATGAATTTGAACACTTCCATCATGATGTCTTCGTGCACTATTAATTCCTTTTCTAACGAACAGACTGTACTTGTACTGCTCTTGACGAGCTTTCTTCAATGGCGACATTCATTCGATTCAATTTTTTACCGATCATTGGGTCCTTGGTAAGTTGCACTACACTCTTGACTTTAAGAGAGGATTTGCTTTTGTCAAGATCAACAACTTGAATCACTTAAACTCAATGATAGACTTCGTGACTCAATACATGGGAAGACGACAAAAGATTTCGTACTGTACATACTTTATGTAATTCGTCGTTTCATTACAGCGATCATGCAACTCTACACATAAACAATATGACATATGAACATTGACAATAGATATAAAGATCGTAAACTACATCTTCAATACCATTATCATTCCTTTGATGCACTAATTTCTTGGCTTGATCAATAAACTGCTTGCGCTCCAAATCTTGTTGAACCCTTCATGTTTGAATGTAGTATTTTTCTTGTCTCGATATTTTCGCTTGACATTTTCACGTAATCCTGCATTTGCCACCCAGAATGTAGTGATTGAGAGAAATACCAACAAATTTCGACACATCCTTTTGAAGGATGTTGTTAAAGCGATTGGCAAAAGAGTTTGGGAGTCTCTCAATCCCACTTAATCGTTGTGTCAGCGTAAGTAATGTTTGCCTCCTTAATGTGATCGAATATATTGTGATAGCCATGCTTTTTGAGTTACATTTTCGGGGAAGACCGCGTGAATATGTCCTTTATCCCATGGAACACCTAAATTATTGTTGTCAATTTATTAATATTTCGACACTCTCCTTATTAATAGGGGCTTCAAAAAGAAGTCAAGAAAGACGAGATCAGAATATTTTCAAGTGGTTTGATTGGACAAAATGCATATTCCAGCTTCTGTCGTCTTTCTTGACTTCTGTGCCGATTTTCGGCAAGACGTTTGAACAGAAAAAATGATGAGAGCCAGTTCTGCACCCATTACCTTTTAGAGGTATTTTAGAATTCGTCGTCGGATGGTGAATTGGGACGCTGACAGGTGCCAGTGCACTAAGTGTGTGGAGGTTGCGGTCGATGGCCGCAGCTCAATGGCAGTTCTTCTGGCGTGGATCACGTACCGCAACTCAAAAGGAGAATACACAAACTGGCTGCGTTACAAGGGAGCTGTCAAGACGAAGACTGGAGTCCCCAAGAAGACTGTTGGGAAGGAAATTTCAAGTTTACTCGCTAGATATGGCTTTCTGCGTGACGTAGGTGCTGTCTTAGACAAAGTACAACGCATACATGCATCATTTATCAAAGCAAATGACTGGGAACATCAAACCGGTCAGGAATTGCGTGAGAACGCTCGAGATTATTGCACCGACAAAACCAGCGCCGAATCAATCGAAATAATGGTCCAAAGTGAAGTATACTTTTCAATGAGTCTAAGGATGACATAGTGTTATTGTAGAAGCCAATTAAAGAAGCAATGCTCAAGATATGTGAATTTTACGACGACTTGTACCCCGTATTTGGCAACCGACCTCTTGCAGCACCAATTTATCATTCGAGCTCTGATGATGGAACAAGGGACTTATCTAGCGATCTTTTTGGAACGGATACCAATGAAGACGCTGAATTAGACGTGTCGCTGCAAACCCAGACATCAATCGATATCCCAAAAGGAGCATTGAAATCAAAATTCGACGACATAGTGCCAGCTGCTAGTACAAAAAAGAGAATACGACTGCTCGGGGACAAGAAACACAAATCATTTGGGAAAAGCATTGCAGAGGCTCTATCGAATACAGCAAGGATGCAAAAAGAAATTGCCAACGACTACATAGAGTCAAAGAAATGGGAAGCAACCACCAAGAGGGATGAACTTGCCGTCTTGAAGCGAAAGGAGAAACACAATGAAATTATTCAAGAAGCCCGATTGATGTCGGAAATCGGAGTCCCACGTGATGACGTTCTCGAGTACATACGACAAGAAAAAGCAAAGCTCGAAGAGGATTAATTTCAGCTCAATGAATTAGACTATCATTTCAAATTGTACAGCTGTACTCTTCCCAAAACTTTTTACAATGGTATTCTCTGCGATCTTCAGCCGTCGTGTACCCAAAAAATTCATATCCTGCATCGATGCTATCATCGTCCTCAGTTGAGTCAAGGTCATAGAGTTCAGTGTCCCAGTCGTCCGAATCGTCCAAGTCTATCAACTAAATGTGCAAGACGGCTGCGCACATTATAAATAACGTCACCATCTTTGCGCTTTTCAAATTGGACAAGTCCATTCGCATACCACGCAATGACTGAAATCGACCCTTCAGTAAACCAATACAATGCTCATTCACACAACGACACTTTGCCATCCGCGTATTGAAGTGCTGACGCTGTGGTGACAATGGCAACCCACGTACTCGCATGTACGTTGGAAGGAGATAATTTGAAAGCATGTAGCCTGAATCGGCAATTAGAAACTCCAAGTTCGAGAAGTATCGTTGAGGACTCATTAAAATATTGCTATTCGCCCACACGCGCATGTCATGAACAGCACCAGGCCATCCTAGATCGACCATCAACAAATCCAACGCAGCCTTCAAATCCGTTATCATGCTCAATGCGACTGCTAATGTTTCTTCTTTCAATACTGGAGGGCCAGACCACAACGTCCTTCTCCAAATCCATAAGAGCCATGATACAACGCTTGTAGTACATGACAATATTTCCTTCAGATATGCCAAAGTATCATGCGAGTATACCAATCGATGCGCCATTGCCATATCTACCAATTTTGGCAAGAAAAACGATAAATTGCTGAGCCTGAGAGTCGTTTGAGTTGCTCAAAAACGCTGATTTTTGTTTGATGATCTCAACCAACTGATAGAAGCTAGATCGACTCATTCTAACCTCTTGTCGAAATCTTTTTTCATCGAGGCTGAGTAAAAACTCGTACGGTGGTTGGTTTTTGGGTACTGGTACTCGTGGATTGAGCTATCGTTGAGAAGTAACTGCTCTGTGAATGAGCGCTATTTGATCAATGTTGAAAGTCATGCTGCCATATTGCACACCAAACACCTGACACATAAATTCGTCGAATTCTGCATCGTGGGCATGTCGTGTGAGAAACAATTC